TATTTTTTTTTACAAAAAAACATGCAGTTCGTGATTAACTTTTTAAATATTTTCACCTACTCTTATATAAATCATTAAATTACAAGCTTATAAGCGCAATGAAAACAGTAATTTAAAAGATATTTCTGGGGGGAGGGAGGCTATGGGAGGGTGCCATCTGGGAAGTGGGTGTATAGTTGAATAAGATGGTTTGGGATGTTCTGTGTGATACACACACACACACACACACACATCAACAAATTTTTTAAAAATGTATTATATCTGAGGAGGATGCATGGAAATTTATGTCATGCTAATTAGGAGAGGTGATAAACAATACCATTGCAATCTCCAGGTTAAAGGTTAAAAACTCATTCAATTTTATGTCTTACAGGGCTTATACTGAGTTCAGTATTGCATAACTGTATTAACTCAATTGTGAACCTAGAAACTTGCACCCACTTGTGAAAGAGATGTACTCTTGCTCTAGAGTGTGTTACTGAATATGTTAAAGCTGTAGTGAAATGCTTCTTCTAATCATGTAGTTATTTAAAAAAATTTTTTAAAGTCCAACATACATTTTATGTCTTACAGGGCTTATACTGAGTTCAGTATTGCATAACTGTATTAACTCAATTGTGAACCTAGAAACTTGCACCCACTTGTGAAAGAGATGTACTCTTGCTCTAGAGTGTGTTACTGAATATGTTAAAGCTGTAGTGAAATGCTTCTTCTAATCATGTAGTTATTTAAAAAAATTTTTTAAAGTCCAACATACATAACAAAACACAAATAGAAATTTTGTGTTTTAATAGTGACACAATGTTGGTATAGTTGATATTTTATGAAAAAAATGTCTAAATTTGAGTGGGAATAAAAATCTTATGGAAAAAAAGATATTTCTTAGCCGGGCATGAAGGCACACACCTGTAAACCAAGAAGATCTCAAGGTCCAGCCCAGGCTGGAATTTATTATGTAAGAAAAATCGAACTCCATACAAACCTAAACAAAGCAACATTTCTTAAGTAATATTTGGTATGAAAATATAATGTTTATTCAGTTATTTTCTTGTATAAATGAGCATACTTTAAGTACATATGAACTCTTAGGTAATCCCAAAATATTAATGTTGAGAGAAGTGTCGTGAAAGATTACTACCAAGTGACAACATTTCCTATAAACAGTAAAACTAAAATGTTTCCAAATATTAAACTTACATTGACACAAATAATTGTGCCCAGCTAAGAAAACCATCATTGATTTTCTGCGTTAACATGGAAAGTGCATCTGAAGGATTTTGCTTCAATCCCAATGAAGGTTCTCACATTAAATAGGCATATTTTAAAATTTTTTAGTTCTTTGATAATTTATACAGTGTATTTCTCATCTACATATTCATATCACCTCCCCAAGTCGTCCCATGTCTACCTTCCATCCCTATCCACCCAACTTTGTTTCCACATTTTTTTTAAACCCAAGTCCCATATGTGCTGCCCATATGCTCTTGAGTTTGCCACCATCTGCTGGAGTGCAGTTGGCCTACCAGGGGCCACACTCTTTTACTCTAATTTTTAAAACCTACTTTCTTTTGAGATAAAATTTATGCTCAGTGGTAGTTATGTTTCCCTGCATCCATACATGTATGTCTTATTTTTCCATCTTTCATTCTTTGATAGCTTTATGCATTTGTATAGTGAATTTTAGTCATTTGGACCCCGGACCCCTGTTCCCCTCTCTCATTACCTCTGGCACCCTTCTAAAGGCGTCCCCTCCCATGTCCATTATGTTCGTGTCTCCTTTCTATGTGAGGCCCATTGAGCTTGATCAGGGTTACCTGCTGGAGCCTGGGCAAGGAGGTAGTCAGTGGAGCATTAGTCTTCTTTCCGGAAATGCAGGATTAAGCAGTTTTATCACTCATATAATCCTTTGGTTCTCTCTCTCTCTCTCTCTCTCTCTCTCTCTCTGTTTTTATTCTGATTTCGGTTTTGCTTTGTGACTATCATATATGTGTACTGTATTTTCATTATTTCCATTTCTTTCAGGCCCCCTCCAGCTCCTTCCATGCCCCACTCCCTCTCAATTTCTTGCACTTTTTTGATATTGTTACATATATACATTTATAAATATACGTATGTTATATATAATGCACTGACTCCATTTAGCAGTGCTTGTGTGTATCTGTGTTTAAGGCTGTCCACTTGGAACTCACACTCTCAGGGAGTTAGTCCCTGGAGAAAACTGATGCTCTCTCAGTAGCCATTGATTGCATGTAGTTCTCCATTGTGAGGTGGGGCCCTATGGCATTTTCCTCATCCGCCTTGGTCTAGCAACTGGTTTTGTACTTATATACAGATCTTGGACAACCATACTGTGAACATTTCACTGATATAGTTCCCTGTCTTGTCTATAATGCATTAAGTAGCAGCAGGTGTCTTGTCCCTCTGGCTCTTGCTTTCTTTCCACTCTCTATTCCATGATGTTCCCTGAACCTTAGGTGCAGAGGTTGCATTGTACATGTGTCACTTAGGGCTGGGCACCTCACAGTCACTTATTCTCTGAATTTGACCAGTTGTGGAGCTTTATAATAGTCTCCATCTGTTGCAAAAAGATCCTTCTTTGATGAGTGGTAAGAGATATACTTGGTTGTAAATGATATGTATTTAGAATATAGTAAGAAATTATATTAGTCGAGGAAGTATCAGAAGAGGGTTTTTTCTCTAGGGTCATTTGTTCTGGCTATGTTTACAGTACCACACATGAATTCTTTCCTATTGAGGGGGCCTTAAGTCCAATTAGACAACTGGTGATCTCCCCCAAGATAAAAGTGCAGCACTTGGGAGGCAGAGGCAAGCAGATCTCGGTGAATTCAAGGCCAGCCTGGTCTACATAGTGAGTTCCAGGACAGCTGGGGCTACAGGGAGACCCTGCTTCAAAAATACAAAAAAAAAGTGCACTATTGCACTGAGATAGTTTGCAGGCTGGTCATCAGAGGCCACACTCTAAAAAAAGACCGACTCTCCCTCCCCCAGCAGTTATAAATTAAAAGAAGGGATATTTAAACAGAAACTGGTTTGTGCCATTTTGATCTGAGTGACATAACAGCTTGAGAAAACATGTCTATACTCAGTTTTGCTTCCAAAATGTGACTTTTAAACTTATTGTCAGTCTCAGAAAGAAATGAGAAGCAATGCAGATGATTAAACATTTGCCTCTGGGGGTTTATTTGCAGTTAATTAAAGCTACACACTTCGATGTATACTTGCTTCCCTGGTTATTAAAGTTGAATCATATGTTAACTAGCCAAGTTTCTCACTTGTCCATCAAATGTTTATTATGGCAGGCTGAAGAAAGAAGCTTTCTCATAATAGTTCAAACTATGTTGTTTGAAGCCACCTTCCAGTTTTGAGAAGGAGTGGATGGAAGAAAGAGGAGAAAAGGAAGCAAACAAAAAGCATCATTTATTTCAGATTCCACCTGATTTTGCTCTGTCAGAGTGTTAGAACTCAACTGAAAGATAAAAACCCAGAGGAGAAGTGATCGTAGGCAATTAAGGCATCAGAAAACTGAGGTCTCTAGTTTGCCCCTCCTCCCCCAGCTGCATGCTGATACAATTAGCTAGTGAATTTTAAATAGCTTTGAATTTTGGTCCTCACAGCTATGTAGGAATGGTCTACAGAACTGTAAGCTTCATGAGGGTAAGCATCTGATCATCTAGTCCCCACTGGCTCCCCAGAGTCCAGAACAGTATCTGCTATTTAGCTAGCCCGTAATAAATACTTGAAACACTAATGAAAGACCTATTTCCTGTATTACTGCTGAACATTCTTTAGGCTCTTTGGCTCCAACATCCCACATTCTAGCTTTGCAAGAGTCCATCATCACAGTACCCTTTGAGCCATGTTATTTCTTCTGTAGTTTAAACTATAATATAAAAAGTGGATGTGTAGAGGCTGGCAAAAGGGCTTTTCAAGTAAAGGTGTCTGCTTCCAAACCTGATGACCTGAGTTTGATTCCTGGAACCCACATAGTGGAAGGAGAGAACAGATTTGTGAAAATTGTTCTCTGACCTCCATGTGCATGCCTTGCTGTCTCCATACATGTAGCATGCCTGCACAGAAACAGACATAATAAATAATAAATAAAATGTAATAAAAATAATATATTTTACACAAAAATGTAAGATTTATTCAATATGATCACACTGGAAAGAGGAACAGATAAAGAAGTCCAGTGACTCCCCCCGCCCAAGTCTGCCTTTAGAGTACTAGCGTGTGGTTTAGGTTTAAATAGAGGGGAAGGGGTGTGTGTAATTAAGTTCTCATCAAGGTGTATACCTCCCCATCATTGACCCACCATTGTCTCAGCTCAAAGTCCTACAAAGTGGCCTAGTAAATTGTCAGAATACTGTGAAGTCTCTTCTAGAAGGTCTTTCTTTCAGCATGGGATACTGGAGAAAATATTTTTTTTATGTGGGCATGTGCTGACTGCACATTTAAAAGTGTACTATATAGGTGAAAATCCAAGGTCTGCATTCCCTTCTCCTTCTTGTTTAGCTGGTTTGGTACCTGCAGAAGATACCCTTACTTATAACTGCATCTGCAAGATGCTGTATCCGACCCTGTCCGGGACTTGAGGCTCCCATATGTAAACAATTAGAGTACTGGAAACACTAAGAAGATTAAAATTAGATATTCCTTTAATCCTTTCTGTTCTGCCTCCCTTTCATGTCCTTTCCTGCAATTCTAACTCTTTCACGGATGTACAAAGCCTGCTTTATACTTTTCTCTGTTGTAAAAAGACATCCCCACTATACTCCGCTTTTGAAGTGTTGTGTAGCTATCTTAGAGAGTATGTTACGAAAGTGTTCTTTGATGGTGAAAATATTTAAGTGTTTTAATGGTTACATTTTTCAATAGTAGATTGCATTCTCTTCAATGCACATCTGTCATGTTAGTAATGGAGACTGCCCTTTGTCCCAGGGGAAGATGGTGTTAACAAGACTCCACTTGTTTGTTGTCAGGTTCTGCACAGGACGACAGTGCTGTAAAGGACAGTAAAGTGACTGATCATTTTGTGTGTGGCCAAGACCTTCCTAATGGTAAGTTATGAGAAATCTCAGCATTTTCTTTCTATTAAGGAGTATTACGTACTAAAAAAATCAGCTGTGAGTTTTTCTAGAAAAGTGGAATTCTTGCTCCCCCCCCCACTTCCTTGGTGGGCTCTCCTGTGACATTGGTATATAGGATCTTAGGGATGGGACTCCTCTGATAATGTTTATCAGTACTGAATACCCCCTGGTTAGGAGCCAGCATCTTGATGTGGTATTTTGCTGTCCACAGTCCTTGTCGCTCAATACCTTTCAACCAGGCTGGCTCCATTCATGTTGTTTATTGTTACCTGCCTGGATTCTATAAGCAATGGTCTTAGAACCACTGAAATGAATATGCTGTAAGAATGAGAATAAATATGGGACATATGGAGAATAAACCTGGAAGATAAATCTGCATATCCTTGGAATACAAAGAAGAGTAAACAGAGCAAACAGAAATGAGGCAATCTTTGGAAAAATAATAGAAAAAAGTTTTCCTAATGCAATCCAGTTTCTCTGCCCAAAACATAAGAATATATATTATATTTATATGGAAAGGTAGTGAAAATCCAAATAAGAACAGACACCTCCATACCTTGCAAGATTTCTGAAGATCAATGGCAAAGAAAGGCTTTTAATGTATGTAGGAAAGACAAAATCAGTTGCTCACAATATCACCAGAATTAGATTAACCTTAGCTTGCCTCCATCCCTCACTGCTAGAAGGAAACAGCAGCATAGCTCTTCAGGATGCCATTTCCACACCACTAAAGTTGATGCTCCTGCTTGAAGTCCAAAGGAATATTTTCTCAAGACTATAAAGATTAAGAAAATATACCGTCCAGGTATCATTTCTGAATAAACTAACCAAAGTCTTGTATCTAGTAAGTATAGGAGAAAAGCAAAATTCAAAACAGAGACAGGCACAGCTAGAAGGTGTGGTGTGGAAAGGGGCAAGGAAATGCATAAAGGTGTTAAAGTGAACATTTCAAAATTACTATCAAGATACTGTGCCCCAATATCTTTCTACTTTGAAAAGTATATATTGGGGCTGGAGAGATGACTCAGTGGTTAAGAGCACTGGCTGCTCTGTAGAGGATCCGGATTCAGTTTCTAGCACCCACTTGGTGGCTAACTACCATCTGTACCTTCAGTTCCAGGCTATCTGACGCCCTCTTCTGATCTCCACAGGCATTGCATGACATGGGTACTCTTGTAAACATGCAGACAGTACACTTAAACACATAAAATAAAAATAATAAATAAATAAATATCTTTTTAAAAAGAAAAGTACATATTGTTTAGAAGTGCAAAGATAATGACTTCTATCTCAGGAATAAAAGTCAAAATAATTGGGGTCATTTCTCTTGCTAAAAAAACTAGGTCAGCAAACATAAATATACATATTCTATATTAGATTGTTTTACATATATACTCATATATGAGCTCTATGTGTAATATAAAAGTTAACATATATAATATATTGCATATATATGTATACACACATACATAGGAGCAAGAGACTGTTAAAAGGTGTTAGCAAACTAACAAGACAATAGAGGCTAGGTCCAGGATAAGGAGAGTCTCCAGAGAGTAATCCCAGAGTTTAAAATTATCTGCATCTTAGGGAACTTGCTAATTCTGCAAAGAATATCTGAAGAGCTGTTGTAGAAGACGGCAAGGGACTCTAATAACCCTCTGTGTTTTAGGTAGAAAGCCCAAAGACATGTCCACTAGCAGGAAGTATGATCCAGCTAAAGGTCGGCTTTCTGAGGTCTGTTGCTCATTTTCAAACTATCTCAATCCCCAAAGTAAATTAAGGTCGGCACAACTTCCAGTTTTCCCGAGAACCCAAGAAAAACACATATAAAATATTAACTAGAGGATCGAGAGGGCCTTATGTACATTCAACATTATTTCTAAATGATTTGTGAAATAAAATATCTAGCACATCGATGCAAATAGTAACCAAACAGAAAATAACAAGAAACTCAGAGATGGGAGAGATGGAGTACATGAGCTGAAAATACTGCTTATAGACACAAAGATTAAAATAATGACACTGAATATGTGTGAAGGAGTTAAGACAAGATAGAAATTTTTACCTGAGAATGGACATTGAAAATGAAAATAAGGGAAGACAAGGTAGAAATCCAACATGCTACAGCTGAGCTTAATACCTGAATGAAGAGATTCACGGTTTAACAACATAGCAGGTATAAATGAAAGACAGTGTGTAAACCATAGGTTAGGTATGAATAGTATATGAAAAATAAGATAGAAAAGAAAAAAGAAGGCAAACACTACAGGGAAAGGTGTTAAGTATACAGTGGTAAAGTCTATCATAAGTTAAATGAGAGAAAAAAATGAGGAGAAGGAGCACTATTTGATGACATGGTGTGAGAAACTTGCTACATGGAGGAAAGATCTGGGACAAAGTTCTCCAAATGTTTTGAACTCCAGGCAGAATAAATAAAAATAAATCCACAACTAATCCCATCATAGTGAAGCTGTTTAGATCAAGAGATAAAAAGAACATCCAAAAGGCAGTCTTCAGCTAAGTACCTTCCCTATAGCTAAGTTTCCAACAGACACAGTAGAAATCAAAAGACAGTGCAACAAGTCAGTAGTCAGCCAAGAACTATAAACCCAGCAGGAAACATATGTTGCAAGAATACAGGTTAATTAAGAACATTTTCGAGGACTTCCAGAGATTTCTAGTGTTCCACAAGTAGGAAGATATTAGTCCAAGGAAGAAATTCAAAGATACGTGAAGAAATTAAGAGCAAGGCAAATTCAATGAAAGTGTTGCTTATTCTCATGGAAGACAGAAATAGCATCTCCCTTTGTTGTGTTTTTTTTTCCATTGTCATGAAAGGTAAATGTACCAATGGATGTTTGAATTCTGTGTCTCAATGGTTTCTGAGAGTCAGGTAATAAGGTGAACTCTGTGACTGCCTCACATGACTGCCTGGAGCATTTCCAGGCCATGATCCAAGGAGAAGAGGAGTTCAGGAAGAGCTCAATAGGCTCCCTGCATAGGAGAGACAGAACTGAACATCCTGGGAAGCTAAGGTAGCTAGAGGTGCTGGTCATAATCCTGGAGACGCTCATGGTCCTATGGACTGAGGCCAGTTACAGCATGCAAGAAAGGAAACTCTCCAAACTCAGGTAAGGGATGCTAAAGGATATAAGGGTATTGATTAGACTTCAGTGACTGGGATGGAGATTGACAGGAAGAGGCATGTGAGGGCTTCTAACCCAGGTGATTATTATAAAAATATGTGTCTTTCTTGAGTTCTCTGTATTTTTTGTTTACCTTCCTATTAGTTTTCTGAAGGTTTATAAGATGATTGAATGAAGGAGAAAGGGGAGGAATGAGGAAGGGAAGGGGAGTCTTGCTTGTTTTGAAAACTCAGGGTCATACCCAGTAGTCTAGGCAATCCTGGAACTCACAGTGTAGACCAGGCTGGCTTCAAATTCATGGTGGTCCTCCTGCCTCAGCCTTCCAAGTGTTGGCATTGTAGGCATGGGTCACCATGCTTGGCATGGATTGTTAATGACATGGGCTATAAAATAAAGATTATGGCAGAGTGCCCCAAGAGTGGTACATGTGCTGACTTCTGTAAAGGAGACCACCAAACTAAAATTCCTGCGTTATACATTCTAGGAATACAAATTATCTTTAAGAATGTTTCTGAGAAATTTGTTATCATAATTAAATTATGAAGGTGCATACCTGTAACTCCAGTACCTGGGAGGCCGGAGCATGAAGATTCCAAGTTCAAGGTCAATATGAAAGCGTGACGCTTTCTCAAAACACACACACACACACACACACACACACACACTTATTCAATGATATAAATAGAAGTAAGTCTTCATAGTATTGAAAAACTACTTTTTTAATTGCCCCAAACTCATACCAAACAGGAGTGTGCATATTCAGCAATTCATGTAGTAATAAATATAATTAGCACTGTAATGAAGGTACAATATATCAAAAAACAGAAATACAAACAAACAAGTGTGACAGTAGGTATAATTAGGTTATTTCATCAAGTTTAAGAAATGCTAAGATTTAGTTAAATTCAATAAACTTCAAAGGTTTAAAAGGATAAAGTTAGAAAAACATGTATATTTGAGAAATGAACATCAAAAAGAAGATGGCTTAGAACCTGTCCAGTTAGTATTCTACAAAAAGTCTCAAGCGAGTCAGTCATTTTATACTGATGAAAATTTAAGTCCCACCTTCAATACAACAGTGATGAGTCTTCATGTGTCAGATGGTGAGGCAAGACACAATACAGAGCAAAACCTGCAGGAAATCCAACAGGGAACTCACAGATACAATATGGTCAGCAATGATGGAACAAATAGGCTACAAATGACAAGGAATGTTTTTAAAATGTGATTAACAGTGTAGTCCTGCTGTAGGAATAGACAGGCAGATCAATGAAGCAGACTAAAGAGTTTAGAATGGACCCAAGTACATATGCTGGCTGGCATTTCAAAGACAGATGACTTAGTAAAGGACATTAAGACAACTAGTTGGCCAACTGGAAAAAAATAAACTGAATCCCAACTTCATTCCTTATACCAACATAAAATCCAGTAGAAGCAAAGATGAAATTTTAAACTGAAACTGTAAAATATTAGAATCAAAGAACTAAAGGTTATTATTCAGCACTAAAAAGAAATGAGCTATGCTGCCATGAAAAATCAGAGAAAAAACTTAAATGCATATTACTAAGTGAAAGAAGCCAGTCAGGGAAGGCTGCGGGCTGCGTGATTCCAGTTATGTGACATTCTGTAAAAAGGCAAAAGTATAGAGACAGTAAAGACCAGGGCTTCTGGGAGTTCAGGAAGAGAGAGGGATGAATAGGGAGAAGACAGAGGCATGCTAGGGCAGTGAAAATACCCAGAATGCACTACAGTGGCGCATGTCATTACACATTTAGCCAAACTCATGACTCTGTAACTCCAAAAGTAAACCCCACATCAGCTTCAATGCAAGCTGTGTTCTATGGTGACAACAGCGTGGGGTGTCAGTTTTAACAGATGTACCCCTCAGGTTGTGAAAGTGGATAGTAGGGGAAGTGTGGCTTGCACTGGAGGCAGGAGACATATATTTCTGTACCTTCCTTTTAATTTTGTTATGAACCAATATCATCTCTAAAATACAGTCTTAAAAATTCGGTTTTCATGCACATAATTTTATATATATAATAAAATACAGACATCTGGATATATTTATAATAAACATATGCATGCTCATGTCAATATGGTTCAGGATAAATCTGATTGTATGAATTTGATAGGATAAATAAACATCAAGTCAGAGTCTAAAGAATATGTATACTGGGAAGTATAGTCTAACCTAAATAACAAATGTTTAATTTTCTTCTTTGAAATAAAATAATCAGTACAAAAAACAAACTAAACTAACAAAGAACTACAACAAAATAATTACCAAGAGGAAAATGGACAAAAGACTCAGCTACTCAATTGCAGTTTGCAAGAGAAGAAATAATTACAAATAAAAAGATGCCTTTATCTCTTTACTTTGTAAAGAAATATACAAAAATAGAAACAGAAAACCTTTTTTTGAATAAATGAAAATATATGAAATTGGTGGGAAAACTTTCCAAACACATTCACCCTATTAATATAAGACTAAAGGGCATGATTTGCTACCAACAATTTTGATTAAAAAAAAAAATGTAGAGATATTTTTTCATACATTACAGTGTAGCGTTTAATGGCACACATATAAAAATACTACCCAAAAATTCATCTACCACACAGAATATTACATCTTTTCAATATCAGGTTTCTGAGGAGATTGTAATAATGGTGGATGGTTTTATAAAATATGAAATAAAATGCAAAAAATAAAGGATAAGTATATTTTGACCCCAAGATATATTTCCAGACCATATTTTTTGTATACATGTATGCAGAGATACATGGAAATTAACATGTAAGCATATGCATATATATGCATTATGCATGTGTGCATATATGTGTATATACACACAAAACAATAATGATCATAATATTAAAATTAGCCATCCCTTTTATTGTAAAATTATGCATAATTTTCAATATTTTTATTATTGCATCCACAGTGTATCCAATAAGAAATACCATTTGTTAGAGCTACAAAACAATTATCTTACAAATAATTTACATTAGAAAAGTCAGTTTTACAGGTCCTAGAAAACTCAGAATGTTTACGTGATAATCAAATTCATGTTAATGTACATTTAATTTTTGCTTTTATTCTGGGGTGCTTTAAGTTAGACATGGCAAAAACAGAATGTTGAATATTAGCAGTAAATTTCCAACTAAACACAAAGACAGAAATTTATTTCCTTAAGACAAACATCAAAGAAACAAAGCCTTTGTTCTTAGAAAAATCTGAGCATCTAATAACCTGCAAGCCATAAAGCTATAATGTTATTGCCTTTGTCCAAAAACAGTCCGTTTACACAACGGGTTTAGGTGTAGCCCTAGAAATGCTTAATTCCAGACTGGTCCCTAGACCAATTTTTATGCAAATTAATCAAAGCTAAAGCATTAGCTTGAGCCAAACTTAATTACCAGGGCTTCAAGAAACAATCATGTGATCCATTTCTGAAGAAAAGTGATTGGATTTGTGGATTATCTGTTCTAATGGCCGCCTCCCATTAGCATGGATGATTGAGTTCACGGTATGAAAAATATATACATAAACTGTGGAATCCTTTGTGTTCTACTTTCTTCTCTGCCAGGAGGATTAGGTCAGAGGACTGTGGGGATTCTACTCCATTGACTATAAAGGCAAACAAAGCTAGCCCCACGGGGGCCACTAAAGCAGGAAGGATGCGCCTCAGTCGGAGAGGCAGAGAGAACAACCAGGCTGGAGAGCTACACAGGCGCTGGGCTGAAGGGCAGGATCTCATGCAAGCCTTGTCTTTAGTCTATCAGATCCCCGTGGGCTCTGGATTGAGCACTCAGGATCATTCTTGAATTTCAAAGTGTACTTCAAAGCTGGGCACTTCATGTCTCCTTCAGTTATCACACTGCATTTCAGAAAAATGAGGAAGTAAAAGAAAGTATAGATTTCTTTCTCAAGAATGATTGCCAAAATATATAATGCACAGGTGAAAGTGGTCAGGAATAGAGACAAATGAGGAGGGCGAGGGAGAGAAATATTCCCAAAAAGGCATTGAAATGGCCTTTCATCTTCACAGTGAAGGGTCAAGAAAACTCTGCTGCTCACCCAGAGCCTCAATCCCACCTCAAGCAGGCTCACCTCAGCAGTGCCTGGCCCTAACAAACTGTGCTTTTCCAGCCACTGATTGAAACTAATGCAGCACAAGGACAGGCAGGAACTCAGTCAGATAGGGTTCCTCTGCTCCAGGACCACCATCACTCTTTCCACATCATGAGGAGGGAAAATCCAGATCAGACACAATGATCTGAGTGGGGACTGCACCTGAAGATACTTGTGTAAATATATGTTAAGAGTCATCAGGCTGTAGTCATGGTTTGTGTTTTACTTCATGCAATTCAATTTTAAAATGCAAAATGAAGAGATCCTCAGACAAAGCACAAAGAAAGATGGCATTTGTAATCAGACATTCCTGGTAATGAATTTTGAAAGCACAATGAAGGTCACAGTGCTCCCCTCACAGGCTAGCTTGCTGCGTACAGGTAATAGATGTGTGGTACCAAGGCAGTCTGGTACCATCATGAGCTTGGCAATTCACAATGCACTCGGGTCCTAGAGGCCAGCACTTCTAAAGCTTTAGTAAGTGGAGATCTTGAAAAAATTGTGGATTACAATTCTGTGTAACTAGAGGGAGCCTGAAATTCTGCCTTTTAAAAGGCTTCTAGATAATTCCATTGTTGCTTGTCAATGGACCATAATATGAGGAAGAATGAGAGGAATGAGACTCATCTCAAAGGAAATGTCTTGATCAGATTTCCATTTTAAAAGTTCTTCCTGCTATCAATATCAAACACAGATCACGGGAGAAAAAAATGGAGGATCTAATGCTGGGTTATGTGCCTCAAAGGAGGAAAGGGGAAGGGGAATAAGAATGAAAAAGAGAAGCATTTTACAGAGCCATCAATACTTAACAGCATCTCTGAACTTAGCGAGTAATGAGAGTCATCCAAGACAGCTTGAGGGCTCACTTCAATCGCTCATGGGTGAATATATGTTAGGGTTCATTATTTTATGGATCCTTTGCATAGAAATTGAGCTTAGGAATGGATGTCACTAAAAAATTGGTTTGTTCTGTTTTGTTTCTGGTTTTGTGATTTGGCTTGTAGTTACACTAGCACAGAAGGAACTATGAGGAAGGGGCAGAGTGGATGGTTTCAGAATAGACACATCAAAGCAGATGATCCAGGATGAAAGGATGTATAAGTTAGCATTGCTGCAGTAAACAATAAGCCCCCAAATCTCAGTGGCTCTCAGAACAAAGATTTGTTATGTTCAGCCTGGCTCTGCTTGGCTCTGCGCCACACAATTTCATTTCCAGATCTAGGCTGTAAGAGCAGAGTCTGCTAAGTGCAGAGAGCTGGAAGAGGCTTGCAATGGATCTTAAGCTTTTGCACAGAAGCACACTGTGTCTGCTCCAGTACTATTTCTAAACCAAATCCCATGAACAGGACTGATAGGAATGGGAAAACTGGTCATACGGTCACAGATAGGAGAAGGTAATCCTGTAGCCAGTCTGAACTCTAGATATCTTTCTTTCTTTCTTTCTTTCTTTCTTTCTTTCTTTCTTTCTTTCTTTCTTTCTTTTCTTTTTTTCTTTCCTTTCTTTCTTTCTTTCTTTTTCTTTCTTTCCTTTCTATTTATTTATTTATTTATTATTTTAGTTCAACAGTAAGATATCCTCAGCATAAAATCTTTCATTAGCATGAGGCAAAATGGACAAATTTCAGTTTCCTCTCTTAATAAGTAGGTACTTAAATGTTCAAAAGCCTATAGGGGAGAAGTCAGGGGATGTGATCCCTGAAGTAACCAAGATTGGCCAAAGTCTCTTTACCTTTTCTGCATTCAGCCACTGTCCTTAAGAGGATGACTGAGATGCTGTGTCATCCTCTCCCTTAGCTTCCTATGCACTGTTGATGGAGGAGTGAAGTGTAATGAGTGTTTAATTGTGGAGGGAATCCTAAAAATGGAAAATATCTGAATTTTAAAAGGTACTAAATATAAGGCATATGCCAGAAATTATTTTAAAAGTTCAAACTGTCCAGACTGGATCTACTCATGTCCAAGACAATGATAAGCTAAATACTAATTATATCAATAAAAGAAGAGGGGTTTTGCCCAAATTATCTGGATAGGCCTCATAAAATAATTGATGTAAATTTAATGACTTGTAACCTGATATTACTGTGCTGCACTTCCACTGTAAAGCACTAAAGTTGATTCAAACGTGGCCTCTGAAAGGTTTTCTTTCCAGACCTAGGATAAAGCCATGGGCATGGCATGTGTATCATATTTCTTTTATTTTCAACCACTGTTCTTAACAGGACAAGAGAATGATTCAGCGAAGAGCGAAATAAAAATTGAGACAGAGTCCCAGAGCTCATCGATTGAAACAGAAGGTACTGAAACCAGAACATATTGTTATCAAAGAAGGCAATGAAGCTGTGGACCATGACTTCTCTATAGAAAGTGTGTGTGAGCAGCATCTGTGTATGTGGGGTTGTGACTGCAAGAGGATTGGAAACATTCAGCTTTGTGTGTCTTGAAGCTAGGGAGGATATAGACACACTTCTGTGCTGTAGTCAAATGTGTTTTCTCAATGAGTTCCAACTTAAACATCTTTGAGTATTCTTCTGCTTCGTTCTATTCAGAGCTTTCATCAAACCAAGAAGACGCCACAGTTCTGGAGGAACCAGAAGTGATTCCCCTGACAGATGACCAAGAGGAGCAGGAGGCCGGACAAGGTAGGACTACTCACAGATTAACCAGTCAGGAGTACAGAGATTCTTTGGATTTCTGCCTAGAATTCAACTATAGAAGTTTTCCTCACACAACTGTAGCCTATAATGGGGGAAAATGAACATGTCTGTAATCCCAAACCTGCTTTTGAAGTTAGACTAAAATCTAGAATGTAGCAAAAGATGCTACTTATAACAGCTTTTCCCCTTCCAAGTAGAATGAAGATGTATTTATATTCCATTTGATAATTTGACACTCTAGTATTAAGAAAGTCTGTAAAAAAAAAATCAAAATTATGCAGTAGAGGGATGAACTCCAAGAAAATCTGAAATGGCCCTAAAACAGTTCTAAAAACTGATGAAACCTTTTGTATTGATTTCATTCTGTTTTCTTTTATATGGCAATGATTAAAGAAAAACCTTCTTTAAAATACGCTCATGATATGAGCCTTCTAAATTGCAAACTTTGCTACTATTGAGTCCTATTTAAAACATAAATTGAGTCATAATGATTTCTAATATGATAGAAGGAAAAAAAGTATTGGATTAAAGAAAAATTTTTATAAAAATTTTTAAAATACCAAAGGAATTTAATATTTACTTAAGAATTATAAGAAACCAACTCTTAAATATCTCTTTTAAAAGTTCATGAAATAATTTGTTACACTACCTAATATATCATAGTGTTCTTAATAAGTAGGTATTTGCAAAGCCATTATAAAATAATAACATTTTAGACCTTGTTTATAGAACACTGTGATCAGTTTGTTTCCACATTAAAACACAGACATGATCTCAGTGAAATCAGGTCAATTGCAGTACAGCTTCCAAATTATGAACATTTTTTGGCAGGAACATTGACATAATTTAATTGCTAAGTTATGGTACTGATTTTGACACTTTTTCAAAAATTTCCACTCCATTTATAGCACACTGTTCTGTTTCTATGTCTTTGCTGGTTTTCTCTGTTGCAAATCCAATACCAGCCTCATGACACCATGTTTGTGGCAAGTCAAATGAACGGCAAATTTGAGTCCTTTATGTCTGCCAGTGATAAGAGAGAATTGATACAACCTTTACCAGATCCTGATACACGCAGGTTATTACTCCACTTCTACTACTGGGAGGAAAACTATACAATGCAGGCCCATTTGCTTCATTTTTCTATTGCAAAAATTATTTGCTTTTCATATTATACCCCAAAAGGCAAATGGATTAAAAACATGGAACAATTTTGGCATCCTCTACTTTTTTACTTTACCCATAATGGAAAAGTTCACATTCCCCACCCAGCCCCCCACATGAAACCTTACTCTAATTGTTGAATTGTTAAGGGCCCATTCTACCTCTCGTCTGTGCAGGCTGGCCAACCCTCATTTGTCAGTGATGGTCTAGCATGGGAGAAACCAGTAAGGTCCAATTGTGCTCTATGCTTGTAGCAACTGAGGAGTTGAATTTATTTATTTAAATTTGACTCTTCTCTGTAAAAGAGCAATACCAGGGGACCTGACTTAACTACGATTCCCTCCCTGTCTTTATCACAGATACTATGATAATATGACCTCCCTTGAGCATCCCTGGTATTTAAATTGAAAATGCTTTCAGTGCATCACCTCTGTCATCATATTCTGCGTCAGTGACAGAGTTAACAGTTATTCTGTTGTATATAAGAAAAGTGTTTACAGTGTACCATTTTCTGTTGGTAATAATAGGACAAACTGGGTAAATTATAAGAAAAAGAGACTTATTTGGGCTGATGTTTCTGGAGGTAGATGATCTAGGGCTTGCATCTGATGATGATCTTCTAGTTGGCAGAATCCCAAAGTGATGCAGGGCATAACATAGCAAGAGACAGGTAGCACCTAGCATGCACAAAGCCAATTCAATTGCCAGTACTGCATAAACCAGGCATGGTGGCACATGTTTGTAATTCCAGCACTTGAAAGGCAGAGGCAAAAGGATAAGAAGTTCAAGGTGATCCTTGGAGACATAGGGAGTTCCAGGCCAGCCTAGGACCATGGAAGTTTATCATTTTTCCTTTAGATTTTATTTCTGTGTGTGTGTGTGTGTGTGTGTGTGTGTGTGTGTGCGCGCGCGCGCGCACGCGCTCATGTGTGTGTGTTTCTGTGTTTATGTCTGTGTCTGTGTCTGTGTCTGTGCCTGGTCTTTCCTTATAGTCATTAGGATTGAATTACAGACGCTTTACCCTAGTGATTTCAAACTACTACTAAACACCACAATCAGATTAAATTTCCAAATCTCTGCCCACTTAATATATGACAATAGGGATTAAAATTTAACACATGAAGGCTTGGGTGACACTAAAACCACAGTAGCAACCAAATGGAAGGAAGACAATTGAATCCTTGGCAGCCCATAGCCAACTTCTACACCAAGACAGGCTGAGTGACCTTGGACAAGATAGTTAACTTACCTTTTGAGGACATTCATCTATACAATGTTGACACCACAGCACTTGCGAATATTTAGTCATAAGCACATGTCTAACAACTACAACAAAACACAGTGCACAGAACACATTCCATAAGTATTTAGTGTTTAGCACAATTTGATAAGTTGATGACAAAGTCAAGAGAATACAGATGAAAGTTCCCCAAATCCATTCATTGTTCTTTATACCTATTGGAATCCATAAAATTTCACATATTTGGGGCTGGGGAGATGGCTCAGTGGTTAGGAGTACTGGCTACTCTTGCAGAGGACCCAGGTTCAGTTCCCAACACCACATAGCAGCTAACAGTTGCCTATAACTCTAGTTCCAGGGGATCCAATGCCTTCTTCTGGCTTCCATGGGCATTGCATGCACATGATGCACTTATGTACATAAAGACAAAAACTCATCCACGTAAAATAAAAATAAATAAATAAAATTTTACATATTCTACATTATCATTCAACAACAAATAGTCCCGCACATTTGATTGACAGAACTGTCTCACGGAGGCATTAGAATATGGCTTCAGACTGTACACCTGGCACAGTGTATTTTATCCTCTAGTGATAGAACAGTTGATGGATGGAGTAGAAGGCATTTCTCTCATTTATAAATTGGTTTTCTTTTGTTTTAGAAATGGTAATAAAACTATAATTTCTGTTTATAAAGAAAGATGCAATTGAGCTATTGGTAGATCCACAGAAGAAAATTAGCAAGTAAATTCAGAGTGGGTAAATTTATTTTATTTTCTATTGATTCATAGAGTTATTATTAGAGTCTTGTTTGAAAATATTTTAAGACTCTCTGGATCCAGGTTTTGTGTATATTCACAAAGGAGTCTCTTAGTGGAAACTCGCGCATATATATTAAGAATTATCTATACACAAAACAAATTAATATCCTATTACAGTTGTTGGAATGTTCTTCGTAGCTCTGAGAACACTGGTTCTCTTTTAATGTGAGAATATTTCTGCTGAGGCAGAAAGTGGTTCATTTAAAAAAAATTCCACACGAGGAAAAAACCTGTAACTTCTTTCACTCATTTTGCTGCATTTTATAAGATTAGAAGAATGTAGATAATCTTCGGGACACATCTTCTATGGCTCCCAGGTGTATGAGCACAGATGTTGCAACATTAAACTCTGAAGTTAGCTCTACCAAAATATGGGTTTTGAAAAGAAGGAAAAATATTCAGCAGAAGTTCATGCTGATAGAATTTCACAATAGCACAATGGACATCTCCCTGGGAGACCTAAACTACAAAATTTTCAACAGGCATTAAAGCAAACGTTCACATACGGTAGCTCTACTCATGCAGCCATATTGCCTCGTCCTAAATGAGGCTAGTTTTATGCTTTCCCAGCGGGATCTGAGACACATTTGAAATCTAGAGGAATAGCACCCTTTGAGTTAATACCTAAATAAGAGAGATCTTTCCTTAAAATGACTTCTTATTTTAGTATAACATCTATATACAATCAGCACTCAAACTTTTTCCAAAAGATTTTTATTCCTAGTCAAATTTAGACATTTTTCATAAAATATCAACTACACCAACATTGTGTCACTATTAAAACACAAAATTTCCATTTGTGTTTTGTTATGTATGTTAGACTGTTTTATGCAAATGAAGACATTTGATCTCAATTATTTTTCTTACAGTAATTATTGAGGATAACATGAAACAGCAATATTTTATCTGTTTACTTAAGGTTAACCAAAATGTTGATGGGAACTTGAGGTGTACAAAAGTCCAAGCATTCTTGGGAAAAAATGATCAAAGACAGGAATGCAGGCATAAAGCTAAGCATAAGCCAGTGACTAACGTAAACTGTGTGTTTATACTCATATTTTAACAATTGACCATGTGGCACATACAGACAGCCAAGGATTTATCCTGGCTGTGTGGGTTTATCCTGGCTGTGAGGTTGCTGGCAGTTCTTTTAAATTTTAAGAACCTCCATTTCTAAGTTAATAATGAGAGATATAAACTCAATAATGAAATGATAAGGTTCTCCTGGTTTTTAAATTCTCACAGAAGGCCAGCTCTGAAGGGTCTTGATGCAACAGAGACATAACACAGGAGGTGCTGGTCATCAGTGCACTCAACACAGAAAGAGTAGTTTTTCTTTAGCATTATTTACGTATTCTGTTGATAAAAAAGCAGAGGCACCCTAGGCCAGGTATGATGATTGCCAGTTTTATCACATTTTATATTAAAACTCATCAGGAACTGGATATCTAACTTCCCCTGAAAATATTTAAAGAAGAAAACATGCCATTCAGATTAACTTCTATTTACACAAACTCTGCTTAGAACCCACTTTCCCATCCTCCTCTTTTTGAGTGCACATGGGAGCATCTTTCTTTGCAGCTCCTCTGGCTACTGTTGCATTTTTCAATGACTACATAGTTCACCAGCCACTTTCTCTATTGCTGCTAGCACTCAGACCTTTTAGGGATTTGTCTTGTCTACAGGGCTCACAGTACACTGCTCTTGGTGGTTTTCATTATGGATGGTTTTCCCATATCACTGACGATGCTGTTTTGC